TTTGTGCGTTATTGACTATGCAAAGGCATTTGACTATGTCAATAACAAGTTATGCATAACATTGAGAATAGGAATCCCAGAGCACTTAATTGTACTCATGTGAAACCTATTGAGCAAGGGAACACTACATGATTTAAAATTAAGAAGAGAGTGTTTCAGTGTAGCATTCTATCTATGCACCTATTCAATCTATAAACTGAGCACATTATTCAAGAAGATGGACTCTGTGAAAAAGAATGTGGCACCAACTGAAGAAAAACTTATCAATAACCTGAGTTACTCAGGTAACACAACCTTGCTTGCTGAAAGTGAGGAGGAATTGAAGTACTTGCTGCAGAAGGTTAAGCAGTGTAGTCTGCAATATGTACAGCATCTCAATGTCAAGAAAACAAACATTATCACCACTGGACCGACATGCAAAATCATAATAGATAGGGAAAAGACCAAGATTGTCAATGGCTTCTTCTCACTTGAATCCACAATCAATACACTTTGCACCAGCAGTCAGGAGCTTAGGAGACATATTGCACTGGGAAAGTCTGTATGTATCTAGGCATCTCTCCAAATTATTGAAGAAGAATGTCATTCTGGGGACTAAGGTGTGCCTGAGTCAGGATATGGTCTTTTCAATCACTTGTTACGCCTCTGAGAACTGAACGATGAATAAGGATGACAGAAGAAGAACTGATGTCTTTGAGTTGTGGTGTTGGAGAAGAACATTGAATATCTCCTGGACTATCAAAAGAGCAAACAGACATGCCTTGGTGAAGGTGCAGCCAGGGTGCTCCTTGGAGTAAAGGATGATGAAGTTCCATCTCACATACTTTAGGCATGTTGTTAGGAGAAACTATTCTTTGGTATCATACTTGGAAAGATAAAGAGATAGTGAAGAAAAGAAGACCCTCAACCAGCTGGATTGACATAGTGACTGCAGAAATAGATGTGAGGGTGTCAGATATTGTAAAGTTGGGAAAATAGAGGGTAGGTTTCAGATTTGTTGCCCACAAGTTTGCCAGGGCACAAAACAAAAAAATATTTGCATTTTTTTTTTTACTTATACTAGTTTATTGGCACCAGCAGCCAGGAAATTAAAAGATGTACTGCGATGGGAAAGTCTGCTGTTAGGGACCTCTCCAAAGTACTAAAGAGCAATGGTATCTCTCTGGAGACTACGGTGCATCTGATACAGGCCATGGTCTTTGCAATCACTTGTTATGTGTCAGAGAGTTGGACAATGACTAGCGAGAATAGAAGGAGAGTTGATGCCGTTGAGCTGTGGTGCTAGACAAGAGTATTGAATCTACCATGGACTGCTAAGAACACAAACAGATTCATCCTGGAGAGGGTTAAACCAGGCTGCTCCTGGGATGCAAGGATCCTAAGGCTTCACCTGACATACTTTGGACAAGTTGTAAGGAGGGACTGGTCCTTGGAGTGCGACATCATACTTGGGAGGGTGGAGGGATGATGCAGGAGGGGAAGGCCCTCTATGAGGTGGATTGATTCAGTGACTGGGGTAATCAGATGGGTGTGTTGAAGATTGTGCGATTGGCACAGTACAGAGCAGAGTTTAGGGCTGTTGTACAAAGAGTCACTATGAGTCACAGGTGACTCAATGGCACGTAACAACAACAACAACAAGTTTACTTACAAAATTCAAATACATTGTCTTCAAGGACAGATTCTTCCAATATCCCTTACCCCCATCCATCAAACTGTACAACTCCATGATTAATCTTCCCTTCTCTCTACACATCCTCATCCCTCTGCTTCCACCCCTCCCTCCACCTTGAATCCTTATACTTATTCTATTATAATGGTTGAGCTTCAATCCAGCTTGAAGATACATAACAACATCTCATTCCATGGTATTTTCTGTAGACTCATATGAATGTGAAGTTTTACAATTAACAAGGGACATTGAAGCAGAGTTAGCTGCTTTGAGCCATGATATTGGTTAAGGATATTAAGAAAATTTTAAAAAGGATATATGATTAAGTATTATCGTTATGACAGGAGTCCAGAATGAAGGCTGCATAGTGGAGTGGACTTGGGGGGAGGGATTTCATAACAATTAAATAAATTTTCTTTTACTTCTCAAAGAGAAGAGTGAAATAGGGGGGAAGGGTGGGTGGGTAGGAAAGTGTGCAACAATGAATGAACAGAAATCCAAAGTCCTTGTAAATTTTCATTAAATTAATAAAAAAACCCCACAATATACATGAATGAAACACAATGTATATGAATGATTGTATGCAAACCATTAAATAAATTAGCAATTTAAAAGAAGTGTGGACTAAAACAAAGAATACTCTTGTCTCTGATTTACAGATAGACTGCTCTTTCAAAGAGAGAATGACAGACACTGGGCAAGAATATCTCACCGTCTCTGGATGTGTTGCCAGGAGAAACCAGTCTCTGAAGAAAAACATCACACTAGCTAAAGGAAAGGGCCAGAGAAGAAGACGACTCTGCATTAGACCAATTGAGGTGAGGGCTGCAAAAACAGGCTCAAATAGACCAATGATTCTGAGGACTGGGTTTCTTTATTTTGTACATTTTTGGGAAATGTTGGGGAGGAAGAGAGGACCTCTGGCCAGGACAGATTGACTAGCTCTGGAGAAGTGCAAGCCTCCCAACGGCCTTTAATATGGGGTAGAGAAAGCTTCCCTGTGTTTGGCCTGACTGACTTGAGAAAGCTCGCCACCTGGGAAGACGGCTGCCACATCTGTTGGACTGGGAGTAGTCAGCACGAGGCTGAGGTTCTCCTAACCAATCTGCATGCCCCAAATCTGTAAGCCCACCCTATCCTGTCTTCCTATGTACATGCTTATATATAAGGGCACTGCTGTTCCCAATAAAATTGAGCTGGATTGACTCTCTGATCCTCTCTCAGTGTGGTGTGTATCTGTTGTACTTACCCCCATTAGGGTGTCACTGTTAGTTGCGAGCAAACAAACAGTGACATTACACGAAATGATGATGAGTCCAAACTGAGTCGCAAAAACAGTTGACTTTGTCCTTGGGTGGAGGTGAGATAACTTATATGGCTGACACCAGCAAGGTCTACCAGAATCCTCACTTCATGTGGTCTTAAGGAGTCACTGGGACAAAATGGCACTGAGACGTGGCAAGGTTGGCAGGGCAAGGCTTTCAGCTGTATGTAGTGTGTCTGAGAGATGGGACAGGGACTGTCCTGGCCCTCCTGGCCCTGTCCTATGGACTGCTCTGCAGCATGAAAAACAATTAACGTACAGACATTTATTTCTCATATGGGATAGTCCACCCTTAAGGGTAAAAAAGAGACTCTCACTTTGCTAATTTTTCTCTCTTTGATAGATGTTAGATTTGGGGTGGAAAGAACAGAGCCTGCAGCAAGATTGGCCTCAGGTTTTCATTTCAATCAGTCTCTCTATTCCACTTTTATTTTAGTTTCAAGCTGTTCATCACCCTGACCAGGGAACAAAAGATTTTTGAGGTGATGTCATTAGCCCTTAAGTGGCCCATTTTGTAGAGAAGTACTTCTCAAGGGCAAGGAGAAATATTTTTGTTAGAAAGCTAAACAAGTACAACCACTCAACAAGTATTAAAAAAAAGTCATCAGAGCATGAACATTTTTGATTCCATGAAAAATAGGATTGTTTCTTCCTGAAATACATTAGGGAGAATTACCAATAAAGTGCCAAATATCAGGATGTATGCTTTTTAAAAGATAATCACAATTAAATTTTTTTTCTATACTACACCCATCAATATTGTCGTCTCTCTATACCAAAAACTAATAGTGTGTTTAACTAGATAATAATTCTAAAAAAATAATCTTAATAATACTGTCTGATATCATTATTCCACATAGTTTACAGCTGCTAAGTATCTAATGCTGTTTGCTATTGAAATCCCTGTGCTGAAATTCGGCAACTCCCTATTAACCAAGACATCACTGGATTGAATGGATACTGGTTGTCCTGTGAAAACTCCTTATTGTTTGCTGTTTTGTAGTTTCTTCCAATGTTGTAAAAGTTCCTTAACATGGTGTAACAAGACTGCCTCGAGCATTGTGCTTTTTTAATAACTATCAATAAGGGAAATTGATAGGGCAGTGAATTTGTGCAGAAGATACGGATGAGAAAGAAAGTTCATCGTGGTTGTACAACTTACGGACTGTAATCAATACAACCCTTGAATTAGCACATATTCTGGTATGTTTGCAACAATTTAAAAAATCATCTGTGCAAAGCCACAGCTTTGAGTCTTCACAAAGCTGTGGTTAGCTTCAAGATTCATCCTCCATCTTTATAATGTCACTCCCTCTTAGGATCTCATTGTGATAATAGCATGACTCCAGTACACACAGTTGGGTTATTATTTGCTTTGGGATTTTCAGGAC